TTTTTTTTTTTTTTTTTTTTTTTTTAACACCATGGTGTCCAATTCTGACAGCCCCAGTTGAGGAGGACCAGTGACAAGTAGCAGGGAAGAAGTTTTAGAAGCCACTGTGTAAGCATTTAGCTTGAACAAGCATGGGCTTTGGAGAAAGGACAGCATCTTCAGGAACTTTAAAGGTGATTGCATGTGCGTAGTAGTCTTAATTTTTCTGAGGTGATCTGTGGGGCACAGGTAGACCAAATACAGGGAGCTATTTCTGGCTTAAGAACTTGAAGGTGCCACAAATTGAGTGAGTCATTCCTGCACAGGGCTGAGCTCTCAGTTGGTGGAAAAAAGTCAAGCAGAAGCCAGCAGTATGGTGCTCAGCTGCTGTAAAGGGGATTCTGACATTTTCTTAACCTTGTGACAGAATGATGTAACCAACTTTTTTGTCTTGGTGAATGTGAGAATTTTGTTCTAAAAAGATGTCTGCCAGGACTGGGGATTTAGCTCAGTGGTTCTGCCACCTGCCTTGCAAGCACAAGGTCCCAAGTTCGATCCCTGGTGCCAAAAAAAAAAAAAAAAAAAAACCCAAAAAAAACAATGCCTGCTCCACTCCTCAAAGCTCCACAGATTGGGGTGGGGGTGGATCCCTGAAATATAGCAGTGAATAAATCAAACACCTACGAGGTTCCTGGCACCCACTGGATACCCAAATACCCAAGTGAATGAGTAAACTCATTAAATGTTTTAAACATTCATTTACTTTACCTCAATAACGTTGATCACTGACAGCTGAACCAGGTAACCAGAAGGGTCTGGGCTGGTGCGCCTCTCAGAAAGGAAACGTAGCCTTGCAGTTAGTAAGATGGCTGAATAACCAGAGGACCCCGAGATCTATTTCCAGCCAGGCTGCCACACTTAGGTGAGCCCACAGTGCTCACCTTCCTTTTCAATGACAAATGTCCTGGGTACTGTGGGCAGCAACTTAACCACTGACCCAAGTTCATACTGTACCCTGGTCTACCTTCCTGATCCTCTCAACTAGAATCCTCAGCCAGTCAGGGGCTTAATTCTATTGAGAAACATCAGTCAAAACAAAAAAACAAAAAACAAAAAACAAACAAAAAAACCCCAAACCCAAAAAACATCAGTCACAGGTGGGCATGGTGGTACTGTACGTAGAACCAGAACTCTGGGAGGAGGCTGAGGCAGGAACATCCCAAGTTTGAATTTAGGACCCTGTCTCAAAAAAAAGAGGGGAGAGGTCAGGGGATATAGTTCAGTACAAAGGCCCTGGGTCAACCCCCAATACCACCAAAAAAAGTCACGTTTGTTTTGTGCTGCTTTTGCATCCAAGACCCAGCAGTGCTTTCTGTTTATGAGTGGGGACAGCTGAGACAGCCTGGACATATAAAGATGGCAGGGAGTCTGGTATTACAGAGCTGCCAGCTGACGGTTACAACAATGAAGTTATTTACTGTTAGAATAGAGGAGAATCTAGCGCTGGAGCAAGTCAAATAGCAAACAGTTGGATTGACTTTTGTTATAACATGGGATCACCTTCTAATGAGTATTGTGTGTACAGGTTGGCCTGTTCGGTTTTGAGTCTTCAGTGGTAAAAAGGAGTGTTTTATTTCACCTTTTCTATCTTGATTTAAGGAGTGCCAAAGACCATCTTACTAAGGGGAGAAGAACCTGTGTACTCTGTATGAGGTGGTGGGCGACTCAGAGGCGTGTCGTCTTCTGAAAGAGGGCGGTGGAAGGGTGTGCAGTGATTTGCTAGGAAGACAGGCTTTTGGATCTTTATATAGAATCCTACACTGCTTTTATGTGCATATATGCGCCTGTGTACATATTTATCTAAGATTATTCTATAGCCAACCTGTCTTTTATACCTTTCCTGGCTGGAGTACCAGAGCAGTTTTACAGCCTACACTCAGATCCAGAAAAAGAACGTAACATGTGTTACACCTCCTGAGACCAGCCTATAAAGTGCAACTACTCATACTAGATTATTTTTTTTATTTTCAAAAGGCTAAATTTTCTCCATTTCTCTACTATCAAAATCAAGAACTGCCTAAGGGTTCTGTCAAGGAGGTTCCGGCTCCTGCTCCACTGGGGGCCTCGAGTCCAGACACTCCAGAGGAAGCAGGGGATCATAAGCCGAAACTCTGCAGGCTGGTTAAAGGTGAAAACGGCTATGGCTTTCACCTCAATGCGATTCGGGGACTGCCGGGCTCATACGTCAAAGAGGTATGGTAATCTGGTTCCAGCGGCCCTGTGAAGTCACACCTGGGAGTCTCAGCTTGTCCCGCCCCTAGATGTCTTAGTGGAAAGGTTCCGGAGGTTACACCGCATTTGGATTCAGATACAAACACTGTCCTGCACCCTCTTAAGTTAAGGCAGCATTTCATCTTTGCTTCCCAAACCTCGATGCCATCCAGTTCTTTAGACAGTCTCAAGTCCAACACCTCGAGCTGACGACACACTGCCAGCCCTGACTGGGACACCTGTTTGCCAGGGCATGTGACAAAATCCCCTCCTGGGTAGGGACTGGCCGCGAACAGACCATCCCTGTAGGTCTCAAGTTGAGTGTGAAGGGGACCTGTGCGATCTAATGCCTTCAGCCCGTAGTAATACTGACGCTATGGCGGTCCAGTTTCTACCGTTACTTTGAGTATGAAGTTATAGCTGTGATAAGTAGAAAAGTACTAAAGAACTTTTCTGTACTTCAAGGAGAAATCGAAATACGGTTATGAATAGATTTTCAGCCGCCTCTTCTGAAGGGCAGCCAGTCTAATGTGCTCTTTCCCATGCCGGAGCTGTTAACACAACCTCACATTCACAGGTGCAGAAGGGCGGCCCTGCCGATGCGGCCGGGCTGGAGGACGAGGATGTGATCGTTGAAGTGAACGGGGTCAGTGTGCTAGACGAACCCTATGAGAAGGTGGTGGACAAAATCCAGAGCAGTGGGGAGAACATCACACTCTTGGTCTGCGGAAGGAAGGCCTACGATTACTTCCAAGCTAAGAAAATCCCAATCATCTCCTCCATGGCTGACCCACTGGATGTGCGCCCCGATTCCGAAGAGGAAACACTGGCAGAGTCAGAGCATGACTCGCATGTGGAAAAAGAAAGAGTGAGTGTCACCATTTTATTCCTGATCTGTCTTACCCCAGAGTGTGGTATAGATTTTCTAAAATACTGGATGGGCCGAGGGGCTTGGCTCAGTGGTCCCACTGCCTGCCTCACAAGCGCAAGGTCCTGAGTTTGATCCCCGGTACCAAAAACAAAAACAAAACAAAACTGGAAAATATAATGTAAAGATATTTTAGAGGAGAGGAGGCAGAATATGGACAATTTCTTTTTTTTTGAGACAGGGTCTCACTGTGTAGTTGAGACTGACCTGGAACTCACAAAGATCCTCCTGCCTCAGCCTCCCGAGTGCTGGGATTACAGGTGTGTGGCACTGTGCCTGGCAGAATTTCTAATTTTCACAGCACTCAGTTGATAGCTATTATGTTATGTAGGGTTGATAAGGCAAGAAGTTAGTTTATTGAAATTCTAATGGAGAACACCAGAAGAACCTGAATCAGAATGTCTTGATAACAATTATGGTTCCGTCACTCCTCAGAAACAGATTTATTTGCTCTGCCCCACCTCTAAAACAGGGAACATTTATAGAATTATTACCATAATTATATTACCTAAGACTACCAAAATACTTTGAACAGTGAGTGGTACAGAAACAGAACCACAGAAGCAGTGATTAGGGACAATACTTAAAAATACAGTAATACCTGGGGTTCACGAACACTTCTATTTGCAAACCAAGTGGCAAAATTTTGCTTGTTTGCAGGTGCCACACTGGGAGACAAACAGGACCACAGCCCCTCCACCCCACATGGCCACCTTCCCCCAAATTGTAAAACAAATTAAGTTTGTAAGCCAAGGTATCACTGTTTCTTTATGGGGAGAGGTTAAACTTTCTGTATAGATTTGTTTTGTTTTGTTTTTTTTGGTACCGGGAATTGAACTTGGGTCTTTGTGCTTGCAAGGCAGGAAACCAAACTGCTGAGCTAAATCCCCAGCCCTTTCTGTATAGATTTGAATTGGATAAGTTCCTTGGTAGGTCTTGGTTTTTACATTTGGTAAAATTATTTTTCATATATGAATGAGGTCTACAAGCGAAATGACTTAACGAAGTTTGTCAAGTTGGGAATCTAATTTTTTCTATTATACAAATTCTACTGATTGGTGAATTATACTCGATGCATACACTGACTTATATCCTAGAAAGCTTAACAAAAAAGTACACTGGACGGACGGACCCTTTAACAAAAAAGTACACTGGACGGACGGACCCTTGACTTACTAACTCAATCGGTTCCTGAGGGCTGGTTGTAACTCAAGTTGGTTTTAAGTGAATACAGCGGAGATTGGGATGTTTACCTGGATACATGCTATAGGGAAGAGGCAGATGAATCTTCCATTAACCTAGTTAACCCAAGTTGTTTATGTCAGGCTGGTTGCAACTTGAGGTTCCACTGTATTTAGAAAAGTCCATGAGCGGTCCATTAAGAGATAAAGGCATTAAGAAATTTAATGTGTCTAATAGCAAGTTAGAAACAAGGCCAAGTGTTGGATTCATAATACCTGTCTTCTAGGGAGTGACTTCACTTCCTGACTTTAGAATCCACCGTCCTGCTCCTGATGCTCACCTTCCCCCACTTGTAAATCGTGTTTTCTTTTGCACAGGCCCACAGTACAGCCTCCAGTTCCTCCTCCAGTTCTGAAGACACAAAGATGTGATCAGAGCGAATCATGGCTTCAGCGGACAGGATTCCCACTAAGTCCCCAGAACTGCTGTCACGGAGCTGCCACCCACCCACTGTGTCACAGACTCTTGGAAACCACCATGTGTGACTGACTGCCACGGGGCTGCTATTACAGATGGCTTATTTGCTTTTTGTGATCTCTTCCAAGCTTCAGCTTAACTACACCTCTCTTATGACGGTATCTCTTTTAGAGGATCCTTGAGCTGATTCATGAATCTCCACAATATCAGTGCAGATAATTCAAATTATGCTTTTATAAAAATGTGGTTGCTAGACCAAGTACCATTAAAAATGTCAAGTATGCTCACCTTTTCCTCCCTTCCTTATTAGCTGGTATAACCTTAATATTAAGTGCTTTTGTTTTGGGTAATCTTCCTTTGCTTCTAGAAACCCCAAACGCTAAAATACAGAATAAGATTTTAGTCATAAAAGGAGACTTGAGGGTAATAACATTCAGAATTTTCTTAGGTTGCACTTGAGTATTTTAAAAAGGAAGAGCTTGAGTCCCAGGATAGAAAAGTGACTTTTTCCAGTTACTACTGTATCCCACAGCATGAGGAGATGGAAGAAAACATGGGCGACGACATCACCAAATGAAACGTATTCAGCACCCCCCTAATGGAAATTGAACTCAGGACCTTGTACTTGTGAGGCATTCTTAATACTAATTTAAAAGGAAATCTATTTCATTTGTCCACTACTTTTTTCCCAGGATACTTTTTTTGGTGGGGGGTTACTGGGGAACAAACTCAGGACCTTAAGCTTGCGAGGCAGGCAGCAGAAACCTTCAGCTAAATCCCCGGCCCAGGTCTCGGTTATTTCATCAATAGGGAAGGGGTTGGGGGAGGCAAGCTGCTAACCCAAGGTTTAGATCACACCAGCAGAAGCTATGCTTAACAAAGTGAACCCAAGGCCGAAGCGTTACCATCTGACTTTAATGACAGGCAGGCTTAAGGGAGAGCCGTAACCGTGCCTGCTGCACGTGGACATCTCCCGCCCCAGTTCAGTGTGGTCTCCTTCCCCTCTGCCCTGCCCCGGCCGCTTTGCTGGCTGCTGAGTACTCCCTTCTCTCTCATGTTCTAGCCGACGCTACTTGTCGCAGTATCAGCTGAGAAAGGTGCACGCATAGCGCGCTGCTACAGCATTTTGTTTAAAAATGTCGGGCCCTGGTCCCCTCCTCAGACTCAAATCCTGACGACACTGGCTTCCAAGTTTGTAATCTCGAGTTCAAGGTGTCATGTGCTTCTCTGGTGCCTGTTTGTGAGCCAAATAGAGGAATAATATGCTGGAAAGGGCGCTGACCAGGAAGATGACATCAAACCAACGGTGATAGAAGTTAAACTGCAGTTCTCCGAGGACTTCCGTGATGATGGTGCGATATTCCAGCGGCATGCTCATTCGGATCAGCAGTACGGACGAGACGAAGTACATGCCCTGTAATTAATCCACGGGTTACTTCGTAGTGAGGGACAGGGGAGAGGAAACTCAATTACTGAAAACATTTCTAGTATTTTAAACATAAAGCTAGTTTATTAAACTTACCATTATCTGCGCTAATAGCAGGACAATGACATTGGAGGACTTACTGCTCGAGATGGCATAAAAGAACTGTTAAAGGGAGAAGGGAGGAAAGGTGATTTAAAGCAGTACTGCTAGGTTCTTGTGAATAACATGGTTAACCTTTAATTAAAAGTGTCTCTTCCATGCCACAATCTTGTATAGAACAAATCAGATGATTAAGGCTATAAAGAGACTTCAAACGACTGAAGTTAGCTTCCCCTCCAGGCAGCTGGTGGTTTTAGGTGTTGGTACATATGAAAGAATTCTTATGCTGTCAAACTTCAGAAACCGATGGATCTGACCTTAACATTACCACACAACTCCAGGACACGCCAAAAGCATTAATGGGCCCCTGTGCTAGATGACCAGAGACCTGTCCCTGTCTTAACTCTTTCAAAAAGGCTTTCAGATCTTGAAATCTCTACCTTTTCTACCAGAGAGCCCCGCCCCACCAAGAAGGCTTCCTACATCGACCTGAAAACAGCTGAATGTTCTGTTTCCTTGCTTCTATATCTTTACTAAAGACTTTCACAATTATTCTCCTGACCTCAAATGTCTGCTGAATGCCTGCCACGTGCCAAGTTCTATTACAGAAGATGGTGAAACATCCAGGAACAAAACAAACCCTTGTTACTTCTAGACATTATCTGTGACGGGTGGGTGATGGCATATACTCTCATACATTTTAAGTAGCAGTTAATATTTTTATCCTGTGTATGTCTTTAAAACTCTTGATCTTAGGAGGGCAGAAGTCTCGGGTGGCTGACATTTCATGGTACCGTATGTAATTAAATAGTACTTAGGTATCTTCTAACACTGCAATAGGACATACCTTGGTAAGGGTGATCAGCAATCCTCTGATGGAGGTGACAATGATTATTCCGACGAGAATGAAGGAAATGTGTTGGGACCAGAACTTCACCTGTCACCGTCATAAGAAGAAATAATCTGTTAAGTGTATTCAGAAAGATGTGATGGTGAGATGGAGTTTCTACAGACCCTACCCCTTTCTAAGGGCTGAAAGAGTGGTGAGTGAAACTTCGGTAGGAAGACTGCAGTAAATATTAGCCAGTGAATCAAATCTTAAAGACACAAAGCAAGTATAGTGAAATGAATAAAAATAGCACTAATAAAACAAGCTAAGGACACATTTACTGTGATAAGAAATTGAAACAAATTTCAAACTCAACAGTACCATGGTTATGTTTTGGTACCGGGGATTGAACTCAGGACCTTGCTCTTGTGAAGCAGGTGGCGGCACCACTGAGCTAAATCCCCAGCCCTCGTGGTTATTTTTAATATCTATGAATGATAGTTCTCTCATCACACAAAACTTCAAGAAACAGACCTCAGCTGTATTCTAGGACACAACATCTGTATCACATACTTTTGCCGCCTTCCGCACTGCTTGACAGAAGCAGTTGGATTCAGTCCTGAAAAGCATCTGAGGAAGAGCTGCTACTGCTGCAAGCAAGAGTCTTGCTATTCAGAGTATGAAATGCGGAAGGCACAGGTGGATTACGGACGGACTGTACACATGGCGAGCAAGCAGCGTCAGGAGGCGGTGAGAAGGAGACATTTCTAAAATGCGAATGAGTAAACCATGCAGGCCAACTCTGCTCTGGTTCCTGCCTACTTAGCTGCGGCTGAGCTAGGAGCCATGTCCTGGGAGCCTGGAAGCGGCAGGCAATCCATGTCTAGAATGAGAGCCCAGTTAAATGCCCCGCACCGGGACTGTCCTTTTAACAATGTTTTGTTACACTGGGGCAGTGGGGATTGAACCTAGAGCCATCACACTGAGCTACATCCCTAGACCTTTGTTTATTTTGTATTTTGAGACAGAGTTTTGCCAAATTGCTCAGGCTGGGCTGGAACTTGCAACCCTCCTGCCTTATCCTCTGAGTGCAGGGATTACAGGTGTGCACCACCATGCCTGGCTGACACCAGTCTTATTAAAGTGTCAGCCCAAATCACTGCCCACACGTATATTTAGAAGATGTATTCGTCTATGAATAAGGGCACTGAACTTGAATGGGAACAGGGGTGTGTTTAGGACAATGGTTTTATCAAACAGAAAAGATGATTTTGAAAAACATCCAACTTTGCCTGCTGCTTTGCTACTTCGCTGCTGCCTGTCTTCTTCCTGCCTTGCTGTGCCGTGGACTGTTTCTCCGCTCCCATGCCCCTCACTATGCCACCCGTGTTGCACCTGGCCGGCAGTGCACTGAAACCTCTACAAACTGAGCTTCCGTAAACCTTTCCTCCTTTAAAAAAAAAAGAATCAATCAATCCAACTCTGTACGGTTGACAGTTAGCATCTTTAGTCTAAAGTCCACATTAATTGATAAGGATCATTTATTTTAGAGCTGAAATTATTTCAGGTCTACCATGTAACACTAATTGGTAGTTAATTTTCTACCAGGGGAATCAAAGGTGAGTTATGTACTGGAAGAGCTCATTAAGGAGCACAGAGAGAAGGATCTGAGTACTAGGTGGGGAGAAACTGGCAGAATAGTAGCTGGCTACAGAGAAGCAGAGGAGGAGGAATAGTAGAAATAATCAGAATCCATGAAAATTACTTATGCATTCATGGCAAGAACAGGAAACCTGGCCCAGTACAAATGTGCCCTGTGAACATGTCAGCTATGCAGAGGACCATGGGGAAGAGCAGACGCAGAAGCAAGTGCTCAATGTAGAGGAAGTAGCCTTAACAAAGTCACATCAGTCAAAACAAGAATCTGCAAGATCTTCATAGAACTCTTACGTCAAACTGAATTCCTAGGTAATTCACAGTGATCTCAATGCCTCTTGTGACAGGATCAGTTTTCCCAACTCGATCAAAAACAATATTGATGGTTGCCTGCAGAGACACAGACCTCTGTATTAGTGCATCTTAATTACTAGTTTACAAAGTGAGTCAGAATATAACACGTCTTAGATGCTGATGTTTCAAAAAATGCAGTTCTACTCAATCAAAAACATATATAGGAAGTCTGTTTAGGCAAATGAAAGTCTCTCCATCCCATTTTATTTTCTGTAGTCAAGAGGGATAAAGCTATGGCATAGAAATCATAGTTTATCAGAAGCCAGAAAGGTTCATGAAGTCTGAGCAAGAGTCCAGAAACTCCAAAGTCATTCCTTACAGTTGTTTTCTGAATGCTCTCAGAGCAAAGAAAAAAGTTATAGCTAGTAAGCAAAGGAAATTGAATGATGAAAAATATCCAAAGATCCCCAAAGTGACATTTATAAAAAGGAAAGGGGCGGAGGACAAATGAAAAACAGTAACAAGGTAATTTTAAATCTAACCATTTCAATAATCACATTAAATGGAAACAGTAATCAGGTGAGTAAACTCAGACGCTGTCCTGTGGCAGTTTTCACGGACAATACAAACGTGAATGGGGTTGGCTGTGTTCCAATGCAGCCTTATTTACGGAAGCAAGCAGACTTTGTCTGTGGACTCTAGGTTGCTAGTCCCCGGTCTAAACATGCCAGTGAAATGGCAGGCACTGTCAGACTAGACAAAAAGCAAGACCTAACTAGTGTATATGTTGCCTACAAGAAACTCACTTTAAATATAAAGATGTAAACAGGTTAAAAGTAAAAAGATGGAAAGGAGATATGCTGATCCTAATAAAACAAAAGATGGCTGTCTACTGTAACATCTGATGAAGGAGATTTTATAACAGAAACTATTGCTTTGTAGAAGGACCATTTCATAATAAAAGCAAAAATCACTTAAAAAAGTTACATAAGGATCGTAAATGCTTATACAACCCAAACCAAAGCTTCAAAATACATGAAACAAAGACTGATAAAAAGAAAAAAAGAAAAATAGCCAAATCCAAATAGTCGGGCCTGTTCTCTAAATAGCTGATAAAATAGAGAATCAGTAGGGATAAAGAAAATTTAAATAATACTATCAATCAACTCGATCTAACTGACAGAGCGCTCCAGCAAGTAAGCAGAGTACACACCCTACGCCAGTGCACACATGGCATCTACCACGCTGAGTTTAGTTAACTATTCTGGCATGGAACACAAGTCTTGATAAATCTTTAAAAGATTCAAATCATACAAAATATTTTCTTAGATTACATAAAATTAAGTTAGAAATCTATTAAGAGAATGATATTTGGAAGAGTCTCTCCAATATTTTAAAACACACTTCTAAATAACCTATGAGTCAGAGAAGAAATCAAAAGAGAAATAAAATGTGGGGGGGGTACTGGAGAGTGAACCCATGGCCTTCACACTATGCTGTGTACGTCCCCAGTGCTTTTTAAAATTTATTTTGAGAAAGGATCTTGTTAAGTCGCTACGTTGCAAGGCGAGGCTCAAAATTGTGGTTCTCCTGTCTTAGCTTCCCAAAGTGCTAGGATTACAGGTGTGCAACACCATGAGCAGAAAGCATTTTTAACTGAACAGAAATAAAAATACAGTATACATTAAAAGCTGAAGTTCAGCTGGGCGTGGTGGTGCATGCCTTTAATCCCAGCACTTGGGAGGCTGAGGCAGGAGGACTGCTGCAAGTTCGAGACCAGCCTGGGCTACATAGTGAGTTCCAGGTCAGTCTCAACTACATAGTGAAACCCTGTCTCAAACCCCCCCGCCACAAAAAAGCTGAAGTTCAAACAGTACATAAGAAGATATTTATCACAATAAATATCAGAAAAGATCTCCAATGATCTTAGTTTCTACCTTCATAAGGTAGCAATGACCCAAATAAATAGTAAAGAGCAGAGCAGGGCTGGGGATTTAGCTCAGTGGTTCTGCCACCTGCCTCGAAAGCACAAGGTCCTAAGTTCGATCCCTGGTACTGCCCCCGCCCCAAAAGAGCAAACAGATATCCATGAAGTAGAAAGCAGAAAAATACAGAAAATCATTTACCCAAAACTGACTCTCTAAAAAGTTCAATAAAATCAATAAACTGCCACTATCCTGACAAGAAAGAAAGAGAAGACACAAGTAGTCAACATCAAGAGATACTACTCTATACCCACAAGGATGGCTATAATAAAAAAGCTAGATGATAACAAGTACTGGCAAGGAGGTGAAGAAACTGAGCCTTTATATATTGCTGGCAGGAATGTCAACTGGTGCCATCATTCTGAGAAACAGTACGGCAGGTCTTCAGAGAGCTAAACACACAGTTAGCATAGGACACAAATTCCGAAACTAGCCATTATATAAGAGAAATGAAAACATGGCCACTGAAACACTTACATACAAATATTCACAACAGCATTATCAATATTGGCAAAAAGTGGAAACAATCTAAGTGTTTATCAATTACTAAATGGATAAACAAAATACATTACCCATACAAAGAAACGAGCACTATATAGCCATAAGAAGGAATAATATTCAGCCATAAAAAGGAATGAAGATGCTATAGCACAGATAAACCTTAAAAATTTAAGCTAAGTCAAAGAAACCCATTACAAAAGACCACAGATTGTCTGATTCAATGCATCTGAAATATCTAGTATAGGAAAACCTAACAAGAGAAAGCACATCAGTGGCTGCCTAAGGCTGGGAGGGTAAGAATTGAGGGAGTAGGGAGTGTGGGATGCTTTTCGGGTTGATAATGTCCACAGGCTGACTGCAGTGATGCTGTGTAACTCCGCGGACATACTAAGATCTCCTGAATCCTATGCTAAGTGGGTGAACTGTAGGGAACTATGTCTTCCTCACCGTTAAAACAGCTGACAGCTCAACAGATGTCCTACATATTGAAAGGATTGACATTATGAGCAATTATATCCCAATAAATTTGAAAATCTTAATAACAATGGGCAAATTCCTTGAAAGACACAAACTGCAAGGTTTCACTCAAGAAGCAAAAACAGATAAACCCAATAATGCTTCTGTTTTTTAAAGAATTAATTGGTAGTTAAAAATATTTCTGCAAGGAAATACCACACCCAAAAAGGCTTCATCTGTAAATTTTATCAAACACTTAAACAATAAAATTCCATACAAACTTTCCCACTAGTCAGAAGAGGCAGCACTTTTCAACTTATTCTCTAAGGTCAGCATTACTTTGACACTAAAACCAAACAAAGACATAATATTAAAAAATCATCAGGTATGTTGAAGCACAGCTGTAATTGCAGCATTCTGGGAGGCTGAAGCAGGAGGATTGCAAATTAAACCCTGCATGGGCAACTGAGCATATTACTGCAAGACAATGTCTTAAAATATAAAAAAGGCTGAGGATACAGCTCAACGTGAAGACCTTGGTTCAATTCCCAGTATATATAAAAAAAACAAAACAAAAACAAAACCACACCAACCAAACAAAAACCAATGAAATTAATTCACTATAATGACAAACTAAAAAAGAACTGTATGATCATTTTAATAGATGTAGAAAACTGACAAAAAACTCACACTATTTCAATTAATAACCTGAAATAATGATAGAAAGAATTTCCTAAAGCTGACAGAGGCAATCAGAGTGGATGCTTTCTCCCTAAGATCAGGGAAAAGTCCAGGACAACTCCTCTTGCTACTTCTACTCAACTTTGCACAATGCAGTAAGGCTAAAAGAGGAGAAAAAGCAGAAAGGAAAAAAAGGGAAGGAAAGGAGAGAAGTTGAGAGGGGAAGGGGAATAAAAGGGAAGGAAGGGAGGGAGGACAGGGAAAAGATCTAAAGAAAAGGAAACCCACACTGCAAAGCAAGAAGAAAAACTGTCCACAATTCCAGATTCCTGACTGTCTATGAAACATATAAGAGAGCTTCTAGAAATAAAAAAGGAAGGTTAGCAAGTTGCAGGATATGAGATCAGTACAGAATAATTAATTATATAAGTATTAACAACAGTCAAATTGAAACAGTTTTAGCAAAGTATCAAAATATACTTAGATATAAATCTGACAAAAGCTGTGACTCAAACATTAAAAACTGTAAAACACTGATGAAAGAAATTACAAAAGATCTGAATACACAGAGGTTTATAGCATGTTCACAGATTAGAAGACTCATTTTTAAGATATTACTTCCTGGGCCGGGGATTTAGCTCAGCGGTTCGGTGGCCTGCCTTGCAAGTGCAAGGACCCGAGTTCAATCCCCGGTACCCCCCACCAAAAAAGATATTACTTCCTTTGAATTGATCTACAAATTCCATGTAATTCCAAGACAAATTCCAGCAAGTGTTTCTGTAGGAACTAGAAAGCTGATTATAAACTTCATATGGAAATATAAGGACACATAAAGAAATATAAGAATTGACAGTATATGACTTCAGGCTTATTATAAAGCAATGATTGAGACAGTACGGTACTAGCACAAATAAAGGCAAACACTGCACACCAACAGGATGAATAGAGAGTAAATGTACAGACCCACACTGAAAGGCAACTTAATGTAGGAAGAATCATCTTTTCAACAAATAGTGCTAGAACAACTGGATATCTTCATGCAAAATGATTAACTTGTATCCATGTTTAATCATATTAAAAATTAACTCATGATGGATCATAGACTAGAATGTTAAAACCATAAAATTTCTATAAAAAAAAACCTTTGTAACCCTTGGCTAGGCAAAGATTTCTTAGCTCTGAGACCAAAAACACAATCCACAATAGGAAAAACAAAAAATTAACCCCAAAAAACAGAAACTGCTATGAGAATGAAAAGTCAAATCTACCGGTAAGAACCAAAATACTCAAAAATCACATTTTGATAAAGGATTTCCAGAATATTAAAAAATTACCCCCCCAAAATACAAACCCAATAAAAAGAAAATAAACACCCTAAGCAAAAAAAAAAAAAAAAAAAAAAAAAAAAAAAGCAGAAGAGTTGCATAGAGACTTCCAAAGAGGACACAGCTCACGAATGAGCACAGGAAAAGAAGCTACACATCTTTAGGTATGGAAATTCCCCATCGGTGTTTGGGAGATTCAATACTTCCAATCTACTAGAATGTCTAAAATTAGTAAGACTGACCAGGTGGGTGTCACTGAGGTACAGAACAACTGAGACTCTTTTATACCACAAGTAGGAGTGCAAACGGTACAATCTTTTTGGAAAAGAATTTGGCCGTTTCTTCAACAGTTAGACATCTGCCTTATGAATCAGATATTTCACCGTAAGTGCTCCTCCAAGAGAAAAGAGCATACGTGTAGACTTACACAGCTTTACTTGTAATATCCCCAAACTGGAATCAACCAAATACCCACCACCAGGTAAATGGTAAACATAGAGTGGAATACAACTCAGGAATAAATTACTGATATACACAGTAACACCGATGAAACCTCAAAAATCACGCTGGTAAAATAAGCCAGACAGAAAAAGGAACACTTATATAAAATATCAATTAATATCTACAGAGAGCTGAGCCAGTGCCTGGGGACCGGGTGTGTGGGAGACAGGCCCTACAAAGAGGCAGGAAGAGTCCTCCTGAAAGTGGTGGATAAATATATTCTGTATCTGAACCTTTTCTATTCCACACCAGGGATCGAGCTCAGGACCCTGTGCTTGTGAGGCAGGTGCAGTGCCACTAAGCTAAATCCACAGGCCTAGACTCTGTACCTGAATTGTGGTGCTGGTTGTTGCACAGGTATAGACACCTATCAAAACTTACCAAACTGTATGCTTAAAATATGCCAATTGTACCATAATAAAGCTCTTAGTAGCTCCTCTAAGGGCTGCATCTCAAGAAAAAAACCTTTCAGTAGCTTGGATACCTGAATACACTATCTTCATTCATCTTTTCTCAATGAAAAATCATCTGAGTGGTAATGATTTCCATTTATTATAACATTAGATTCATTAAAAAAAAAAGGAAGGGGATCAAGAGATGAGTGGGGGGGAAGGAGGGAAAGGAAATGAGATGTAAAAGAATTAAGTGTCTATGTACCAATTTTCTACAAGGAATGTAAACATTATGTACTACAAACGTGTACTAATAAAAAAATCTATGAATCTATATTGATCAATATTAGCAAACTGACAAAGTTCTTCTTTGCGCAAACACAGCTCTAGTAGGTACCACCTTCACAGATGTTGAAAATTCTCTTCTGACTAGCCCTCCAATTTCTATTATAGACAGGACTTTGTCAAGCGGGAAAATCACACCAGCCTTTACTATGACCACATTTAAATCCATGAATACAAGCAAATGAGCTGGAAGTGGAGACTAACAAACATAAACCGCACACAAAGAATTAAAACATTTAAGGGAAAACCACAAAAGAGTAAGAGCAATAAGCCCCCGAGATGAATGTACCTGCAGAAATACATTTAGAATTTATCTTGGACTTACATTTTTAGGCAAACAGGTAATTAAAAAGGCTATGTGGTTTCTGTTCTGAGCTGAAAGTGGGAATTGGGATTACACAGTCATATACTCAGGTAATATGGAAAGCACAGCAAACCAAAACGCTTAAATCGATTTATGCTTCATAACCTAAGGCCCTATAAATAATTCCTGACAAGGGAAAATAAAATAAAACCTCCCTTTCTAGATCCTCAAAAAAAGGAGGAGGGGGAAACGAGTGCGTGCAGAGATGTGAAAGATCACGTTCTCGTTGGTTCAACTCAATTTGGAACTGACCTCACTCAATGTGTTAATTAAACCCACTGCAGCTTGTGGTCTTCCCCAGGGAAAAGCACCGAACTCTTGATAAAATATACTTACCATGAAAATTTTCCAAACACAGTAAATAGAGAAAAAGTAACCCAGAAAATTAAAATATTTTCCTTTGAAAGTTTTGGAATATTCTATTCTTTCCTGGGGAAAAACAATCACAAAATTTGGTTAGTCTCATATAAACTTAACTTCAACAAAAGAATTCCTCTATGAATCACTATTGATTATAATATTAAAATAGTAACAGTAGCAGTGACCAACATTTGTTTCAGCCAGACACTGGGACAAATATCTTATGGGCATTAGCTAAACTTCACAACACTTATGAAATATGTTCTAATATCTTAATTTTACAGATGAGGAAACTGAATGTTAGAGACGTGAATAAGCTTGCCCAAGCAGGTGCACTAGTAAGTGGGCTCAGGTCTGTCTCCAAAGCCTATGTTAGTTAACCTTTATCCTATGAAGCTACTCTGAAAAAGAATTAAAAAGTTTGCAATCATTAAGATTTTGCATACTTATATTGTATATTAACTGTACATAGGAAAGTTAGGATACTTTCTGATCTGAGTCCTTTAAAATAGGGCTAAACCATGGCGGTAACATTACTAACTTGTAAGGGAATAAAAGGAAGCAAAGGAGCTACCAGGTATCTTTATCCTGGGTCAGTAGGAAGAGGTACCTCCTTCACAGATGCTGAAAATTCTGACCATCCTTCCAATTTCTACTACAGACAGTGTTCCTGTAAGGGTTTTGCCAGTGACAGAAACAAACTCAAGAAGAGTAATTCCTCATTCTCAAATGCCTCATGGCTCATAAGGAAGCTGTGAGGTGTCTCTTGCCCTGCCTGGTCATAAGATACTAATAAGCTCTCTTCAGTCATATTGATAAAAAAGTCATAGTGAGTTTCCTGGCGCTATACCTTGGTTGCATATAGATCAGTTGTTTCAAGAAAAAGCTGCCTGCTTAGTTCTTCCAAAGCATCCACTTCCTGTTGAATAAGAGTAAGATCTGGCACGAAATGGACATCAAGGTTTAAATCACAGAGAAATTTTAAAAAATAGCAGTAAGGAAAGCATTTGCTGTTGTATTTTTCCGTAGCGGATTCTAGGAACCACCTGGCTTTTCAGTTCCAGTTTCGGATCCAGAGTGCTACCTCACCACATCAGAGCAGTCTCCCTGACTCTGACATGGCTCAGAACATCACCACAACGGTCTCCTCTCAGTTTCACCCAACCCAGACAGATGCCTTTTGGTATGTTTTTTGCTTTATTTATCTTATTAAGTCACATGCAATGTAATAAGAGCTGTAATAAAGCCTAACTTTCTCCTATGTTATCTGAAGAAATACAACGCTCGGAACGGAAACTGATATTGAGTGCTAACACAGGCTGGGGTTCACAGACGTTACCTTCTTTAGCTCTTTTATAGACAGTCTCTTCTTTTATTCTCCCAACAATCCCAAGAGACAGGTAAGGAAAGTGAAGCTCAGAGGTTAAATGACAAAGTTATACAACAGCTGTGGATGCAAAGTGAGATCTGCCTCACTTCAAGGCCTATTGTTTCCACTAAGCTATGCTGTTTTCCAAGAACTCAGTAAGTAGTCTTAGTCTCCTCATTCAGAAATTGGACTCAGAGAGGTTAAATCATCCGAGGCATCTGGTGACTTATTAAAGCAGTTAAAAATTACACATTTGGTTCTTATGGATTTTTAAGTAATAAAAATAGTGAAGATAGCCCCTTCTAAAACAGAATCATTGACTTGAATCTAAATCTTAATTCTCTCTGTGACTTTTCCTATTATTACCAAAATCAACAAGTGTCCTTAGTTCCCTCAGCAATGGCTGTTCTTGGCAACATCCAAACCACCAAAACAGCAGGACTGAACTAGCTTCACCCGCCTCTCCTGGAATCAGACGCTAAGATGCTCGAGGAGAGGTACATGGCACTCTCTTCACTGCTCTATCACCCAGCACTTTGCCTGGGAACAGGAGACACGAAGTCAATGTTTCTGGATTAAATCATTCCTCTTTCTCTGCCATAATCACCTTGCCTTTCTTTGGTCTTAGTCTTAGCCGAATTTGATACCAGAAGGATATAAGGCATAATTCATACTAATACATTACATCCTTCTCCTCCAACTGAAACAAAAGGGACTGTATTTCCCTAGTCCAGAGAAGAAAGTGTGTGTCTGATTCTCAGAATCCCCGATATTTTAAACTCAAAGCCTGGGAGCTATACACCGATTTGATTATTCAACTTGCAAATTAGTTTAACACATTTCAACTAGGTAGGCTAGGAACAATCTATCAATCCAATCATCTTGACTTTTTAACCAAAAAATTACTGGAGAAGGAGAGATACTTAAAATTTGTTTAGGAACACTACCTACTTTAAAAAAATGAGCACTTAGCAACCCATATACAAACCACCCATTTTAGTGAGACATTATGTTTTGTGGTGTTTCTTCAGGGTTGAGAAATGTAATACTGTAGTGGAAAGAACTATGAAGAGGAGACCACAGGTCTGTTTCTAGAGTTGCCACAAACTACGGTATGATTTAACCCTTTGGGTCAATTTTCTCATCTGTAAAGCGGAAATACTGACTTTTTAAGCCCTCACCAGCTCAAAGAAAATAGTTTTATGATCTTTCATGGGTGTTGGAAAGATAACAATACACATTGTATTTCCTAAGCCTATTTCTGGCCCATCTGGACTCTGATGTAGTCAGGCACCTTGGAAGGGACCATCCCAAGACTATTTTGTTCTGCCCTTGGCCCAGAGTGTAGAAAGAATCAAGCAGCAGGATAAAGGATACTTTCACTTCCTGGAGCCGAAGCAGTAACACTCTTTAATATTCCCCAGAATCCTGAAGGCTTGTTAGGCACCTCTCCCCTCTGGAACATAGTTCTCCGTGCCATTGCCATCCTGAAATAAAAGAACACACAAAACCTCATCAAGGAAGCAGATTCTCAGAGCCCAGTTTCATCCACTTTCCAAAGGCAAGTATGAAAATCAAATTATTCTGCCAAGATTATTAACAAGCTCAGCAGTTGTCCTTAGCTAGGTGTGGCTCACTGTTCTAAGGGCTCTTCAAGTCTTACTATATTATTACCTTTATTTTAACAGGTGAGGTGCGGTAATGCATAGACCAAGGATTCAAATTAGTGTGATTTCAAAGCATACGTCTATCATGATACAGATTTCTATGACACCCACTTTGAAAACAAATGAGTTGTGAGCAAAAAAATAGTGCTGAGTGAAATAAACCAGACACACAAGCTTAAATACCAAATGGTATCTCATTTGAGTGAGGCAAAGTACAAAGAAAATAATAAAGGATGGACGGCAAGGGACAAAGGAACAGATCTCTCGCAATAGGGAAGTGGTCCAAGGGAACACATGAGAGGGTGAGGAGGAGGGGACCGGGAGATGAGAGGAATAAAGATGGATCATGCGCCGTGTAGAAGCCCCTCTGTACTCATCCTTGAGTGTGGAGCTGCCGGTGGGAGCTTGTTGGAGGGAGCACCCCATCCCCACCCCCAGGCCCAGGCCAACAGTGCTGCACCCACTGTGCCCTGACTGGGATCCCCCACCCCAACAGTGACGATTTCGGAAAAATGAAAGTATTCATTTATCCACTGACATCTGGTGAGCCCGTGTCTCAGTATTTCCGATCCTGGCTACTTCCCACAGAGAAAACAAGTCCTTTTTTTGGGCCTTGTTAATGGTAGCAGAAGAAAGGGCTTCCTTTCTGATTCCCTGCTGGTGGGGTGGGTGCCCAAGGGACCCCTGTGGCCCCTGCCCATGGCCAGCTTCCTGCTGATGAACATGCAGTTTGTATTGTTTTAGGAAACCAGGCTATTTTTGTGAATAAAACAAATGCATATTTGTGTCAAAAAAAAAAAAAAGACGTGCCATGTTCAGGAGAATAATAACCCCAATCAATGTCAACACTATGTGCCGTAACAGGAGCTAAGACAAAGAATGTCAACAAATATGAAAAAGGGAATAGGAGAACCTGAAGAGGAGGGGAGGGAAGGGTAAAGGGATTAAAGAAAAACAAGCTGTAAGATCTATAAGTGACTACTCCCCAAGATGACTGTCAACTTTGTGAATTGCAAATATGTACTAATTTAAAAAAAAAAGAAATTAGCTGCTAGAATCAAATTGTCACATTTTGTTGAGAAATTATAAGAAAGTGATGCTGTTACCTTTTCTTTTTGCTTATGATCATATCCATGGTTTGAAGCAGTCGCCGTTCCAGTGCTAGGATATCTGTGTCAGTCACATTCCTACAAGAAGTATAAACTGTTAGCAATGTTTTGGGCTCCTACCCTTGGGCTTGTTACAAGTTACCTGGAGAAACATAAATCCCAATGATTAGCCAGTATATAAGGACATGCCTTTTTCTAGAAAACATTGAAATGACCATAATAAGCTACAATGCTCTCACTGGTATTTCTTAGAACTGATTCTTGTGGGGTTTGAGGGCGTCAGAGGTAAGGTAATTGCTCTCTTACTCTTTCTCAGCTTGGATCTAGTGACAGTTGGGATATAAGTTTAAACATACTTTAATTTGGCACTGTTTCCTATTCTACTTCTAGGAGGAACCTATTTCCTAAAGCTGGGAATACTTCACACTGCTGTCCTCCAGAAATGTGCCTTTAGAAAGTGGGAAGAAGGGGACAAAATTTGCTACTTAAACAATAAATGAATGTAGGGCAAATAACACAGGCAATGTAAGTGATAAGACTTATTTTGAAAGACTCCAGGTTAACACCCACAGGTACAGACACCTGCGGTACAGGTGTCCACGGGAAGAGAATAAAAGGGCACAATCACAGAGCTGATGTCTAAGTAGGAAAGCTGACATATGTATTCAAGTAATGGGGACAAAAAAGAAGAGGAAGTGTGCGTTACCTGAGGAAGTAGGACATGTATGTGTACGGGCAGTTGACAGCACCGAATCCAGAAAGCAGAGCCATGAGAGTCACCCCAATCACACCCACGCGGCTGATGAGCTGTTCTATGGACAAGATCCCTAAAAACATCAAAGCACATTAACATCCGGCAACACAGATACAATGGCTCATCTGCACCGCAGAAGGAAATGTTACTGAAAACAACTAGTACACAACTCACTCATACAAGCCAACTTTTAAATATTAATGTGTGGCTTTTCTGTGATAACTACAGTCACATCGACTGACAGTTTTTTCCTGTCTTACACACTTAAGGACCATCTCTTTTACTGGGTGACGATAACAGTAAAGTAGTAACAAGAATTGTGAATAGCACTGACAGTTTACTACGGTCAGTGTGAAAGTAAAATACTTTTAGTAAAAGCTCTGAGCAAACAAAATTAGGAAAGTAAATCTAGAAAAGCATGGATAACAAGTAACACTTGGTACTAGACACTCCTCACACAGCATTTTGTGTTAGGTCCATGCTTTTAGCTTATGCCTTATTCCTTTTTGCATCTAATAAACACAATCTAATTAATGGCATCTAATAAATGGGCTGAATTTACAGACAGATGGGTAATTCAAAGGCAAACACATGACTTTAGATGAGCAGTTGTGTTCTAATCGTCAATTATTTTCTATCATCTGAGAATGCTGAAAATCACTCAGCAGTTAAAGTAAGTGCTGCTAGGGGATGTTATCTGGGATAAATGAGAGTAAGCAATGCCAGAAGATAACTCAGACAGTTTGGCATCACAGAAAAAACAGTAGTTTTCACTCCTTATTTTTAGGATAGAATTTACTTCAGCCATCAACTCCAATGGCCAAATGCCAAGCTGCCATTCAGGTACTGTTGGCTTTGAACATTTAAATACCAACCTCCCACTTCTGAGGCGGGCCCTCCCCTCCTGCTCCTGCTCCTCAAGTCCTCTTGCTCCTTTATTACCACTAATCCGTTTCACTGGGGCTCTGTGGCCTGACCTCTGGCCTCTCATCTTCTGTTTTCCCCTTCTTCGCTAGCTTGGACTCCAGGATTGCTTGCTTCAACTTCTCTCAACAGGACCCTCAATCTCCTACCCTCTGCTCCTCTGGAAACACTGTTTCTACAATCCCCCGACTACATCAAATGCTGTGCCTCCCCATAGCCATGCCTGGGCTGCCTAAACTGCTAGAATGCATGCCCACACGACTGGTGCCATTCCATATGTGTGGTCTCTAGCCTTAGCTCACATACTGAGTACACAGTCAGTCCTCTCTCTCCGGTCCCCTCAGAGTTACACGTTAATTCATTTTCTCACATTTGTCCTCCGTAGCCGATGCCCTTACTATAAAAACACAAACTACTGGACATTTACCAACTTCACTCTAATATAAATATTTACAGCTGCAAACATCCTCTCAAACGGTCTCCCTCAGAACGAGGTGGTGACCAAAGCTAAGACTTCCAGGTGCTGTGTTCTCTGTCACAGTAATCTACTCTTATGCTGTGCAGTGTACTTTTTTCCTACTTTTCCTTGGCCCAAACTTGTTCTGCGGAGCATGTTTCTTTTCCTACTTTTAGCAAATGTAAAACCTTGAGACCTTCTGCACTTGTATTGACCAATTCTTTGCTCAGGCTGGAAAGAACCTGGAAACCAACTCCAGAAGAAGACTCCAGCACCCCAAAACCTGGCAACATATCTGGCAGAGCCAGCCAGGAGGTAAGGCCCTTTGGGGCACCTTTTGTTACTTCCCTTCTATAGAATGTACTCCCCCCACTACTTCTACTAGGCCCAAAAGAGCTCTGTACAGCCCTTTTCCTGCCTTTAAGAAATGTAAAGCCTCACTAAAACAAAAGAAAACAAAAGAAAGCTAGGACTTCTCTATGCTGTTGGTCTTATTCAATCCCTTTTTATATCCTCCAGAATCTTGTTCCATCACCTGTCCCTGCCCTCTTGTATCTTTAATCTTTCCACCAGTTCTTTTTCTTTAGTTTTAAGTCTATTTCCTAGAAAAAGCCTGTTCTTGGCCTTAAATTTACCTCTAGGTTTTATTTCACCCGTAACAGCAAAGCTTCTTGAAATAACTATCCCCTCTTCCTCAACCTGCAGCTGACTAGTCTGGCTTTCGTCCTATTCTTGTTGATGCAGGGTCTTGCTCTGTAGGCCAGACTGGCGTCAAACTCCAGAGTGCTAGGATTATAGGCATGCACCCACCAAGGCTAGCTCTCATCTCATTCTTTTACACTGAATGAAACTATTTTCACTAATAATCAGGCCGGCAATACAATAAGTAACATTAATCAAGTACCTGTTATGTTCTAGGTACTGTTTTAAGCATTTCATATATATTACCTAATTTAATCCTCTTAACAACCTTAGGGCCAGGGATTTAGCTCAGTGGTTCCGCTGCCTGCCTTACAACTGCAAGGACCCAAGTTCGATCCCCAGTACCAAAAAAACAAAACAAAACAAAACAACAAACAAACAAACAACAAAAAAACCAAACAACCAACCTTATGAGGCAGATATTATTGAAAGCCTTATTTTACAGATGAGGAAATGTAGGCACAGAGAAGTTAAGTAACTCAGTCAAGGCCACACAGCTAGGAAGTGGCAGAGTCAGGATTCAAACACAATCTAGAGCTTGGGCTCTTGACCTTTATAACACTATGGTCAGGGATGTTTCTACTGCTTACAAATTCAATGTCATTTTCCAAACATTCTCCTTGTCTCTCCTGCAGTGTGTCTGTTTCTTTCTTGACGAAGCTATTTGTATTATGTAGAAATAAAAGCAAAACTCTGAAGAGTCAGGTTACCGAGGTCACGGTGAGTGGAAGACTAGCCACAGTATAAGGCAGTATGGAGGCTGCACCCCGGGGTTTCCCTCGAGAGCCTCAGAGCAGCCTAGTGGCCACTCAAACATTAAGAACTCCCTCTTAAAACTTCCCCACATGGCTTGCTTCGGCAATTGAATGGTGCTCTCACCACAGACACTTGGGCGTCTACAGCACTTCCTGCTCAATGGCAACCTCCTGGAGGCAGCAGTATTTTTGGCAACAAACCACCTCTTTTGTTGCCTGGACCACTGGGACCTGCTCTAGGCTCTGAATCAGTATCCACAGCAATGGACCATTCCCTGTAGGCATTCTCCACTTTCTCCTATTCTTTGGGGAGGGGTGGGCGGGTGGGCATGGCCCTCCCTTTTCCAAGTGGAGAGGGAGCGGGCAGGCTGTGTGGCCCAGCCCCACTCGGGGGAAGGTGAAGGGCTGGCTGAGGCTGCCAGAGCAGATCAGTGAGGACCGCTTAGGCTTAGTCTTTTATGACGACGGATCCTTCTTATTTAAAATTACTTTCCCTTCATGGCTTTTATACTACTATTTTCCCAGGATTTCCTTTTTATTTCTCTAGTTGCTTTTTCTTGGTCTCTTCTTACTTAGCATGTCCAGAATTCTCTCTTTCATAGCAGTCTACACATTTTTCCTTGGGTATCTCTCCAATTTTTTCAGCTTTATCTCACAGCATTTAGTTGGTATCTAATTTCTTAAGGTTCACAAAATTCCCTCCATGAGAATTGATACACCTGTACTTTCTCTTAAGCACCTGACTTTTGTATTTAATTGCTTGTTGAACACAACCTGGATGTGTACGGGCAACTCAAATTCAACATATTCCAAACTGAAATCACTTTCCCCCTGGACCTGTTTCCTCTTCTGCATTGCCATTTTGCAAAAAAGTACCAAATGTCTAGCCACATAAAAAATCTACACACCTAGTCTCCATTCCATTTCTTACTCCTCTTTAACACACCAAAATCTTTCCTACGTTGGGGCTTTACACGAAGTCTCCTGTGCCTTCTTGCTGGGCCTTTCATTAAATCTTAGCTTAAATATTACTTCCTCAGAAAGGCCGACCTTAACCCCTTGCACTAAGTTTGATACCCTCACCTGCATTATTCTCTATCAAAGCAGACTGTTTGCTCCTTGATGATAATGATCACAACTGGCGATTATTTATTCTTATATTTACCTCTTATTGTCTAGTCACACCCATGAATCTGTAAGTTTCATAAGGGCAGAAATTTGTTTTGCTCATGGTTTATGCCCAGAATTTAATACATAAGTAGATGCTCACGAGGTATTTGTGGGATGAGTGACTGAAGAGTGGGTATTATCATGCCCATTTAGCAGTTAACAGACAGGAAGAGTGCAACAGACTACGAGAGTGTATCTCTGTTGCACCTGTTGCACCTGCGCACATCGGTTCCTTCTAGCTTTACATATTTTCAGTCTGCATTTTTCCACTCTAGGATGCCTCCCAACTTTCCCAGGTTCAGGCATTGCACTGGGAGACATTGCACTTTCACAGACTTCTATTGTGGTATATTAGGGATCGCGCCTAGGGACATTTTACCATTGAACTATACCCTCAGCCCTTTGTATTCTGTTTTTAAATTTTGAGACAAAGTTTCACTAAGTTGCCCAGGAGAGCCAAGAGTTTGTGATCTTCCTGTCTCAGTCTCCTGAGTAGCTGGGATTACAGGCATGCACAACCACACCTGACCAGGCATTGTTTTCATTGTAAGTAAGGTCTCTGTCTTATGGTTTTTGAGGGCTCCACATCAAATTCCCTATTAGTTGCTGGGACAGTCCTGGGAAAGCTCTGAGGTGGCATCATAGCCTTGGCTATTTCACAGATACTGTACTGACTAAACTTTTATTCCTATTTTCTTCTCTTAGGGGGGTTCAAGACACCTGAAATTCCAACTAAAACTAAAAGGTCTAATTATTGGAGTGTGAAGGAAAGATTAAAACTGAAATAAGCTCCCCAGCTTTCCCCACGTATCCCTTTTAGGATATTCCTGGGGAATTCAGAAAAAGTAACGGATGGAAGGTGTATATACTTCATATACTCAGTACAAACTTCAGAAGTATGTTCTGGAAGGACTTGCTAGAGGGAATTTTGTTCACTGTTTTTAAATAGAAATTAGGGGTCCCTCTGCCAAATTTCTTGTATTTAAAATGAAATTTTTCTGTGAAAGACTGATTTTTGGAAATCTTTATCTACTCATTGTGAGCATTTTATGTAAGATTGCACTCCCTAATTAAATACAGTCTCAGATGGGCATGGTGGCCCATGACTGTAATCCCAGCACTCTGGGGGCCTGAGGTAGGAGGATCACAAATTTGAGCCCAGTCTGGGCAACTTAGCAAGACATTTTCTCAAAATAAGAATGTTTAAAAAAGCCCAGATGCAGTTTAGTGCAAAGGCCCTAGATTCAATCCCTAGTACAGCAGGGGAAAAAAAAAACAACCATAAAATCAATGGCGGCAGCGGTGGGGTGGGGGTGGGTAGGTGAGGTGCCTTACTGTATTACACAGGCTGGTCTCAAACAATCCTCCTGCCCCAGTCTTCCAAGACACTGAGACTATACGCATGCATACTACCTAAAGACAATTTTTGTCAACATTTGAACAATGGCCATTTACCTTCTGGGTCACACACTTTTTTGGAAATCTGATAAAAGCTTATCAATGCATTACCTCCAAATAAACATACTGTTATGATATGGATAAGTGTCCCCCAGAGGCCCATATGTTTAAGGCTTGGTCTCCAGCTCCTGGCACAGTTTGGAGGCAGCGGATCCTGTAAGAAGAGGGGTCTATTTGGAAGTCTTCTGGTCACAGGTGGGCTCATTAAAGGAACAGAGACCTCTCCTTTCTTTGCTGCCTGACTGCTATGAGGTGTTTCCTCTCCCACCACAGGTCAAAAACCAACAGGCCAAGAGACTATGTCCCAACACCTCCAGAACTATGAGCCAAAGGTGATTAGCTCAGGTATTTCGTTATAGTAACAGAAAGGTGACTGATGTATATAATCCCACAATTCTGCATGTACTATCAGGACACTTAAATTAAGAACATCTTTCTCTGTCTCTCAAACCCTTGAAATGTTTATACTAAGTCAAGGTAAAAAAACTCCTCTAGAACAATAGACATCTGTTCCAGAACCAGCACTCTGATACCCTTTAGAATGAAGGAGAAAATGTGGATAAAAATTAGGTATTTTAGAGAAAAAATGTGCTGTGTTTCCCATAACCAAAAGTTTAAAAAACATTTTTTTCAAAATTAGAAAGTTAACCAACCCTCTTCTCACTCCTTCATTTCCCATATACTCACCATGCTTTGGGCTGAGAATGGGAAATGGATCTCCCAGTTTCCAGAAGAAATACATAAATGTTAACCATAAGAGACAGGAAAAAGGCAGTCGCTGTTTATGCACTAAGACAGAGGAGATAATGCTGTTAGCAAAAACATATTAAAGAGCTTGATGTATAAAAACATAAGCTTATGCTAATTAATATTTAGTTGGCTTCTTTACTTGGCAAATGAACGACGGAATTCAGTTTTTAGCAAAGGTGTCCTTCCCACCATCAAAGAAAGTTGGACAAAATTAAGTGGACCCAGTTGAGAGAGACAGTATAGTAGAAGCAGGGATAAAGCTGTGGGAGGATGAATAACCTCATCGTCCATTCAATGTTTGTATTCCTTTTGTGACCATTTTAAGATGCAGGGAGGTACCTGCAAATAGTAGCAGCTATGAAAATAATGTAGGAATGAAATTGTCCCCAACCCTAATCCCCAAGAATACTCATCTATGTGTTAAAATGAGCAGACAAAATACTCACATAGTCGGATGTTGCTCACAACAAAATAGCCAATGTAAAAAGGTACCATGAAAATTAGGATCAGCAGAATTACACACAGGTTCATTTTCCAGTGAAAATAACGGGAGCTGAAACAGATGTCAAAGAATATCACTGGGAGCTAGAAAGGGAATGACTTCCATTGTCTTTAGTCTTCCAAAGGATCTCTGCTCTTTGAACTCAATATTAAATACAACTCATATATTAGCCAACAAGGCTCTTACTATCTACTCACTGGCAGAGATTAAAAACTATAAATTTCTGAATGGTATATATATCCACCTTAGCCCAATAAAATAAGAATGTTTATACATTACATATGTGATGTATAACATACCACATCAACATGTACCATTTCTGGTAGAATGACTTATTTCACTCACCACTAGGAATCTTATTCCAACATAAAACTTAAAGAAAAATAAATGTCAATAGCAATAATCTCAAAAGGACTTGGAAGTACCTTTTTTTTTGTACTTTTGGCAGGGGTACCAGAACTTGGGTTGTTGCACTTGCCAGGCAGGTGGCAGAACCACTGAGCTAAATCCCTGGCCCTCTTTTGTGTTCTTAAACAGCTGATTTGCAAGACTTTTATTGATGTTTATAAAATCTTATTCTATTTTTAGCACATATGCTTATATAACAGCTTTGAGATATCGTTAGTACATTTAAAGTGTATAATTCAATGGTTTTTACTGTATTCACAGATCTGTGCAACCATCACTATAATCAATTTCAGAACATTTTCATTACGCAAAAAAAAAAAAAAAACCTCCTGCACCTGTTAGCAGTCACTTTCCATTTCTCCCCAATCTTGCCGACCTTAGGAAATCACCAAAATAACCACAGTATTTTGTTTTTATGGATCTGCCTATTCTGGACATTTCATGTGAATGGAATCAAAGGCTGCTTTTATAATTAGCTTCTTTCTCAACATGTTTCGCATCTATCAATAATTCATTTCTTTTTCATGGCTGAATAATATTCATCCCATTTATCTTTCATGAGTCAATAGATAATGTGGTTTCACTTTTTAGTTATTACAAATAGTGATGCTATGAACATTCTTACACAGCTTTTAGTGTAGTCATATTTCATTTCTCTTTATGTAGGAATGGAGTGGAATTCCTGGATCATATAGTAAATCTATACTTACTCCTTGAGTAAGTTTACTGTTTCCCAATGTGGCTGTATCATTTCTCATTTTCCCCAGCAGTGTATGAAGTTTCCAATTTTCAGCTGATGCAACACCTTCCTACAATCTGTCTTCTGGTTATACCAATTCTAGTGGTTCTGATTCACACATCTTTTCATATACTTATCAACCATCTGTATATCATCTTTAGAAATGCCTATTCAGATTCTTTGCCCATTGTAAGAATGGGTTGTGTTTTTACTATTACATTTTTAGTTTTTAATATATTCTAGATAGAAATCGCTTATCAGGTGATTTGCAAAGATTTCCCCCCATTTTTGAGATGTCTGTTCACTTTCTTGATAGTGTCCTTTGTATCTGATTTTAAATTTCAGCCAAGTTTCAAAAAATGACTAAGCAGTTAAGTGGCTTACAAGGCTATATAAAATATAGGATGAGGAAATAAACTATAAGGACACGTGAAGGAAAGGAACAATGTAAAAGACAGATAAAATACAGTGCTACCTTGGTTCATAAATGCTTTCATTTGGAAACAATTTGGTTCTCAAACAGAGGCCATCTGACAAACTCTTGTGTTTGTTTTTAAACTCTGTATCAGGCGACAAACAACCATGGCCCTCTTTCCCACAAAACTGAGTTTGCGAACCGAGGTCCCACTGTATTGGGCTAGGCCCAAACTTGATATGGGTGGCCTACAAATTTGGCTTTACATTTTCTCGTGTTCAATACAAAACACAGAATTTGATCATGTATTAGTCAGCTTTCGGGTCACTGATATAAAACCTGACAGTCTCAACTTAAAGGAGAGATTTCATTTGGCTTGCATTTTAAGGGGATTCAGTCTATGACCAATGGACTTCAAGGAAGAAACACCACAGCAGAGTAAAGCTGGGGAAGTAGAGCAAGGAACAGTGCAAAGCAGGAAACGAGCCAGGGACCATGTAGAGGACCCAAACTCAGACTCCATGACCCCTCACAAACACCCAGAAGTGTGCTCTACCAATCTTCCAGGTGGACCCCAAAGCTACTCCAGTTGATACTCTACCTCTACTGCCACAGATCGATTAGATAAAATCATGTCTTTAAGAAAACAGACAATTTCTCTCAAAGGATGCATAATTATTATTGATTTATTATTATTGAATTAGTACCAACAATGAAATTTCTCCAAAGATTTCATAAGGAGAATATAAGAGGGCAACTAACAACATCCTGAATAATATCCTCTCAAAGCAAACACCAGTGAGTTATAGAGGACTGTTTCTTTCTATAATACAGACATCAGGCAGCACCAAACAGAACCATTCAGTAAAGGCTACCCCACAGGCAACCAAAACCATTGAGTCTAGTTATACTGGCTGCTTTCTGCTTTTCGGGAATTAGCCCAGTTTAGTGTATCCAGAGAAGCAAACAAGCTGCACCTCCTCTAGGTAACTGTACATAGTATTTTAGCCAAGCTTTTGAAGATACTGGGAGGCAGTAGGTTTTAAATGACAATGTCCCAAGTATAACTTGTACTGCCAACTAGAAGTGAACCTAACAAGAGTCTATATTTGAATAGGAGGCTATACAACCTCTACTCAGAGGGATAACTTAATACAAAGTCTGGTTTTTTTTAAGCAAATAGAGATATATTTATTTCAGCATTAGATGTTTGCATATTTTCTAAATGGTTAGATACAAATCAAGTCTAGAGAGTACTTTCCAAAAATATTTTGCTTTTAGAAAAGATACAGGAGCTAAAAACCAAAAATATCCCAGGATTTCAGGGCTTCCTACTTCATATTAATTGTTGTTTAATGATTCTCTTTTGAAAAGTATTCTGAATCATCAGCGCAGATATAATACATGATCAAGGCCCACATTTCTGTTCCGTGACTGGGCAACATTAGCAAAAAGAGTAAGTGTAACTGTGTACATGTTTTAGCCTAAACAAACCCAATCCCCAAAAAGTACTTCAAGAACAACCAGATTTTGGCAATGCTAGTTGCTATACTTTTAAAGATAACTACGTATTCAAGATACTTGAAAAATATACACCAAAGTGTAACTGATGTTTCTTATGAGTTAAAAGTTGAGGGACATAATCTACCAAAATCAGTAACTAAGATTTTAGACTATTTGAGCCATAGTCTATTCTAAAAATATTTAGATTAGTGGTCAGAGAACTATGCCCTGGCTGCTACTGAGTTTTACTAAAGCACAGCCATGCCCATTTGTTTATTGCTTTTCAATTACAATAGCAGAACTGAGCAGCCATGATAAAAATCCTATGGCTCACAAAGTCTAAAGTATTTACTATCTTGCCCTTCACTGAAGACTTTGCCATCCCCTGCTTAGATAGCAGTGAAACAGGAAGGCTTAGCAATAAAGTTTAATAACCAGCATGTAAAACACTGGCCTCTGGATCTATATACAGTTCATGAAAAAAGTTTGGATTATTAAACAACAAGCTTAAAAGGGAAGTACGCACTCCTCATACAGATGCTTGGAATTTAAGTCAAGAAATATTTTGGATAATAAAACCAGACGGCCTGTTATTCGGTAGGGAGTAGAGTTAAGTAGTTTTGAGGAATTCTGATCTTTTCAGGCAGAGATTTTTAAATGTGAAAGACCACTATTGGGGTTCAGTCAGAGAACAGCCTAAGAATAAAACTTCTAAGAGAAGCCTGGGACCTAGTTTCTCACAGTCCTATTTTAACAGTAATTGTTTTCCTGGTATTTCATTCACAGTCTTTTGCCAAACCAGTTACTAGATACCTGGGACCCACATTTTCAGTGATCAATGCAGTTACTAAGATACATGGTAGCTCTTTTAGTTATGGGATCCAGATGATTCTTCTACCATGAAGAAATTAGCAGAGAACTCTTCAAGAGAGTTATTTAGTACTCTTACTCACCTGCTATTCAGTACTCCTAAGATCTCAAAGATGATAAGCTCAAACATGGTGCAAGAAAATGCAAAAGTCACAGAGAAGATCACCTGTACAGCATACTGACGCACCTAGTAAAAGCCCAAAAGAGACTAGAAGTCAGTTATTTTCTTGATTGAAATTCCGAGCTGATAATTAAAGCACGAGCAGATGAAGGAAGAGCCAGAAGCACCACATAGAATTCCTAAGGCACACTGACGACCCCTCACTCCCCCAATGTCCTGGATCAGTTCTGGAACCTTACCTGGGAAGACTTAAAGTATTGAACAGAATCTCCAGAATTCTGGGCCCTTTCAGACAACTACCCAAGCTCTCTGGAAAGGTTTAATGTAGAACATGAAAGAAATGGCCCGAAGGTATCCATAAGTATTGAACTCATTATTAAATAAAAAGCATTAATTAGAATATATCCAGTCTATTGGGGTGATTTTCTGAATCCAAGGCTTACAATAGGAACCACGCCAATGTTGAGATTTTGATATTAATTTTAAATGTAAGACTGGTAATTCAGGGCTGGAGAGACAAATGAAAGAGAACATTTATAAGACATTACTCTCACAAAGAGTTAATTGTCTGCTATTGGTGTGTGTCCAGATATAACAAGTATGACGTTCCTTGCTATTAGCTTTTGGGCTTCGACTTGCATTTTTTTGTTGTTTTAAAATCTACTAAGCCTAATCATATTCTGCAGTTTTATAGTTAAACAGTATTCATTTGGCAAAAACTTGCTATCTTGGAAGTGAACATGATCTTTCTCTTTTGTGGGTGTTTTCTTGTCTCCTTTTAAAAGACTCTCAATTCACATACGTGTAACATAATGATTTGTTCTTACCTCATAGTCCTTAAACAATTGGCGCATGAAGAAAAGCCACCCAAATCCAAAAAAAAGTATCTAGAGGAAAAAGAACATAGAAGGTCAATATGTATCTTCTTTTGAAAAAGGTCTTATAGACATTATTTTATGATAAAAGATCAGCTAGACACATATTTCAGAGATTAAAGATGAGATCTACTCATAACACTGGAGATGTTTAAATGCTTTTACATCTTTAAAGTTACTCATACTACAAAGAATTTTAAGTTAGACAAAAAAGGATGTATTTCCCCAGTCTTATGAAAATCATTTTGTGAACCAGAACAGTTAGCAAAGACTCTGAAATGTGATTACAGGTATTTGTATTTTTTTTTAAATTAAAATTTCAAGGGAATAAGATGAGAAAAAAATAGATGAATAGTAGATAGGCTAGTATTTTTTTGAATATGTTTTTTATTTCAGGAAGCTTTCTTAGCTTCTCTGCCATCCTGATTAATCTGCACAAAGGGGTTTCCATGTGAGACTGCAGGATCCTGCTTTTGTCAGTTTTGGCATCAGTGACAATAGCCATGTGACACCTGACAAAGCTGGTTTTCACTAGTACATAGAACCTTCTACACACACATGCTCTGGCACGTCTCTTTTTTAAACTTATACTAGTTGGGAGTTTTATTAAAATTCTTTTAGGCCTTCCTACTGACTCCTCTTTAGTCTTCCTGCCTACTGCACATTTTTAGTCACATGGAGCTTCCTCTTGTTCCTGGACACATCCTTTCATATTGGAAACTCTGCCATCGCCTGGCAGGAAAGTGACCCCCGTCTTCTCCCACTTACAATCCCATAGGTCTTAACAAATATATTGCTCCCTCTGAAAGGCCTTCTCCAACCTCCTGAATAAAGTTAAACGTGCTTTTGATATAATCCGAGCTTACCCTATTCGTCTCTTATCAAACCACACAGGTTTACAATGTCTAATTTCCTTTTACTATAAACTCTATGAGGCTTGCTATCACGGCTTTCCTTATAATAACTCACCCTGCATCCTCCAGGGTGTACTTTTATCTTGTTTTCTCTTTCTCCTTTTTTACTCGGCCCAAGTTCACTTTACAGAGCCAGTTTCTCCCTAACTCTCCATTTTTCCTTTTTCAAATAAAATCTGCCACTTCTTTTGGGTCATTTCATTCAATTCTTTGAGATGAGAACTTGGAATCTAACTTCAGAAGGGGAGCTGAACTCAAAACCCAGTAATGTTTATTTGGGGAGCCACTTTTAGAAGGAGCTACCTAACAACATTTTGGTGCAGCCAGTCAGGAGTGAGACACAGGTACCAGAGACCAAGCTAAGGCCCATGTTGGACACAAGTTTTATTTCTCTCCATGAGGTGGTTTTTCTCCTCTTTCTTTCCCTCACTCTCTCCCCTAGGCCAGGAATTGGGGAACTCTTCTCAAGGTGTCAGGGAGAGGCTTCCGGGCCCTGCCATGGGGATGGCGCCATGGGGATGGGAGAAGGAAATGTAGGCTTTTGTTTTCTTTCTAGCTGCCTGTGTTCACTCTATAGGTTCTTGTTGTTCATGCATTTATTTGTTGTACTTTGCTACTCTTTTTGGTAATTAACCTGGTTTCTGCTTTTATCAGTTTTGTAAATGCCGCCCCGCACCGTTTGTGTATTGGTGTTATGCTAGAATTAAGGATGTCCCACCCTGGGTGATTCTTTATTGGATTATGTGATGCTGGGATTAAGGGTAAGATGCTACAATTAAGGGTGGCACACCCTGCATGTGGGTGGTACCAAGAAATGGTTTAGAGCTGGCACAGAATCATGCGCAAGCTGGGACTAAGGGTCCCCCAAGAAATAGGTGGCACCAAGAAATAGGTTTATAGACTGCATGGGGTTACATCAACTGTCACCATCTTTTCCTTTTTTTTTTTTTAATTGAGTTTATTGGTACATTCTAGGTAGACAGTACAGTTACATTCATTACTGGGATCTTGTACCTTTACATGCCAGGTCTTGGTTCTCATTTTTCCCCTTGTCCCCCCCCTCCCTCCCCCCCCCCCCCACTTCAAGCACTTTAATTCCATTCACCATCTTTTCCTTTTTTAACTAACTGGCCTTACAAGCTAAACTTCTGTCTCAGTTACTCTCTTGTTGCTGGCACAAAATACCTGACACCCAAAGTTAAAGGAGGAAAGGTTTATTTCGGCTCAGTCTGCAGAGGTTTCAGTCTACAATCACCTGGCTCCAAGGCTGGGTGGCAAGAAAGTGGGACACTGCAGAGGAGAAATAGTTCATGGCGTGCAGAACACAGGAGGCAGAATGCACTAAGCAAATGAACTATAAGTGACAAGCCACGACCAAGGGATCTTTCTATCCCTTGTATCTTACTCAGGCTACCTGCTCTTGAGTGCCCTAAAGCACTCATACCCTCAATCCCAGTAACACACTGAATCAATCTGAGAATGACATCCTTGATTCCAGCAGCACAAACCCTAAATTCATCCACCTCCGAAAAGCCCTACCTATGACTTCATGAGGCTTTGAGGGGACATCTAGTTACAAACCGTTAACAGTCTCTGATTTTGGAAAACAAAAGGGAAGAACCTTTTCTTTTTGAATTATTTTAAACAGTACAGTGGCTCTTCCCTCTACAGAAGAGAAAAATTTATCCATTCAAAAAGAAAACTCCCACGGCTTTTTTGTTGGGGCAGGGCAATGGCCTGAGTGCCTGCTGAAGCCAGTTTTAGCTGATTCCCTTCCTCCCTGTCTCAAATCTCACCTGGGACTCTAGCTTCCTGGCTGGATTTCTTTCATGTTTAAATGCAAATAATTAAAAACCCTATGACCCGAGCAGATCAAACGGCATTTAAAATGTAATTAAAGTGGCTGTGAGTATATGAAAGCAGTCATCCCTATTCTTAGGGTTTTTTTTTTTTTTTTTGGTAATGGGGATTGAACTTGGGCCCTTGCACTTGTGAGGCAGGCGGCAGAATCACTGAGCCAAATCCCTGGCCCTGTTTTGTTTTTTACTATCAGAGTGTGCAAATGTTAGTGTCAAATTTCCCAACTGGCTCCATTCTGGTTAAATAGAGTCATAAAGGGACTCAAAATAAAAGTTGGGCCATCAAGGAATGGCTAAAGGAACTTTGCTTGGGAAAGTTTTGCCCTTACTTCATGAGAGTTGGTCTTGGAAAGACCAACAAGTGGCTTTGCCTGTTTTTCCCAAATGAGTTAATGGGTCCAAATATGGAGGCAAAAGCCCCTGGGGGAGCTTTTCTCTTGTGCCCAATGATGCAGCATCACTCAGACAAAGATGTCTGTCTAGTTTTTTGTTAGGGTCACAAGGGACACTCTGTGGAACTCCTTCTGGATGGGATGCCATCTTAAGAAGTGAAGTTGTCTCCTCTTTGTAGGCTCCAAGCTAAACCAATGGACACCTCTTGGACTTTACCACTGTGTGGATTTTAACCAATTCATCATTAGGACTGTATTCTTGATGAGTGGGAAAGGTTGGATCCTGACAATTTAAAACAGGAACAGCTTATCTACTTTTGCAATATAGTTTGGGTTCAGTACAAACTGGGAGGTGGTGAGAGATGGGTATGGGACAGTATTTTATGTTATGAGATTATTCTTCAGTTATAGCATTTCTACTTAAAACGCACATCTTTATTGTGGGAAAGGCTCAAAAGCTAAGAGGATGACCTCATCCTAGAACCCATACTCGCCTTTCAGGGAGATGTGGATCTCTCTGATCTGATGATCAGAGGAGGTCTCTTCTACTTCCTCCTCATAGTCTCCAGGCCAGTAATCACCTTTAGTCACAGATAAATAAGAGGCTAAGAACTATGGCAGGGGAAGTGGGAGGGGTAGGGGAAAGGAAAGAAGGGAAAGGAAAAAAATATGAGAGAAGGTAAAAAAATGGAAACAAGTCTTTATAAACAGGGAGGAGTGGAGGGGTTGAAGGGAGTGCCGGGGAAGGGTGAAAAATAAGAACCCGGATACATCATGTAAAAGTACAAGTTCCCAGTGATGAATGTAACCGTATTATATGCCTAAAATGTACCAATTGAAAGAAAAGAAGAAAAGGGTAAGAAACCACCCTGGAAAGCTTCTTTCCCCTTCAACAGAATCAAACTGGGACTGTAATATTAGTGGGGGGGCGCTAAGAGTGACGACATGCTAGCTGCTCTTATAATGGAGGTAAAAAGGTATATCAAGTCTTCTGTAAACATACTAACATAGGTCTATCTTCCAGGGAGGGATAAGCACTAGTGGGACATCATTTTAAGTCAGTCAGCCACAGATATTTGGTATAAGATACAAAAACTTCAGATGGGCCCACAGACCCCTATGGCCCAATCGCTGGATGTGGCCTTTTCTGTGTTCAACAACTAGGACCCGGAGGAGGGACAAGAGAAAAAGGCTAAAATTATAGTTGTTGCAATTGGAAATGTTTTAAACTTACCCAGGTTGTCTAGGGAAAAACCCAGGGACAACCAGGGAAGAGGTTCCTGTTTTAAGTGAGAGGACTGTACACTGGGCAGAAGATTGCACCAAGCTTCCGGTTGGGCCCTATATGTGAGACAGCTAATGCTCTTGACTCCTAGCATTGGAGGTTTGACTGTCCCACTCCCAGAGAGGGGACAGGCCAGCCAGAACCCTTATTTCCTGCTGTGATGACTGAAGAGGCCCAGGGGAACCTGCCATCTCCAAAGAACCCTGGATAATCTTAGATGTCATGGGTGAACTGAAGCAATTGCTTCTTTCTGTTTTGACTTATTTCTCTGGAAAACCCTTTTCTGGAATTATAGCCATAGTTGGGATCAAGGGGACCCCTAATCAAAGATGCTTTACAGCTGTACTAACAGAAGAAGCTGCAATATCAAACTTTGGGAAAGAAACTAGAAGTCATGACTCCCTGAATATGAGAGCGATTCTGTTTGTTTGTTTTTTTTGTTTGTTTGCTTTTTGAGACAGGGTCTCACTATATAGGTGAGACTGACCTGGAACTCACTATGTAGCCCAGGCTGGTCTTGAACTCACAGTGATCCTCCTGCCTCAGCCTCCCGAGTGCTGGGATTACAGGAGTGTGCCACCATGCCCGGCTGATGAGAGCTATTCTGAAGACAAAAGGTTACTTGTGGTTAATAGGGGAATGGCTAAGTATCTGGCCATTATAATCTGGCCATCTGATTATAACATGTGACGTTATTATAAAAACTTGCATTACTATTAACCCTACTTCTTCAATGCCTACAGGCCCAAAAAGGACATCGAAAGGTAGGTTACGCAGTTGTCACTTCACAACAGGTCACTGAAACTAAAACTCTTCCTCCAGGAACCTCTGCTCAAAAGGCAGAGCTAATGGCTCTTATTTGGTCATTGATTTTAGGAAAAAGCAGAAGGTTAAATATCTACAGATTCCAAATATGCCTTCTGATACATATCCACACAGCAATGTAGATGACTAATAAAGAATCACCTATCTTGCACAGGTGAGAAATTTTACAACTCCTAGAGACAGTCCATCTTCCCAAGCAGACACAGTCACACACTATAAAGGCCTTCAAAGTGGCAAGTCTGAATTCCTGGGAAGTAAAAGGGCTGAGAGGAAAGGAAAAAGGGCAGCCTGACAGCCCATGAAGAGTCTACTCTTATTCCCAGTTCCTGAGGAAAAGCCAATCTATACTCTCCAGGAAAATTAATGGGCCTTAGGACAGGGGAATTAAAAAGGGATTCTGGTTTATTGGGGTTTCTTTTTTTTGGTACCGGGGATCGAACTCAGGTCCTTTTACTTGCAAGGCAGGCGGCAGAATCACTGAGCTAAATCCCTGGCCCTCTGGTGGAATTTAGAAAACAAACTGGCTCTTCCTCAAGACACAATGGAAGGCTATAAAAATACTTCATGATTCCTTCCACATGGGAAGAGATGCTACACTGGAAATGGTCCCTCAAGTCTTCAAGGACTAGGACTAATTACAACCAGCTGACAGGTGTGCAAAGCTTCCTTGCTCTGTGCCTACAGTAACCTGGGCAAGAATTAGAACCTGTACAGAAGAGAGGAACATATGCTGGGGAGGACTAGCAATGAGACTTTATCCATATGCCACCATGTGGAGGATTAAACAGATGCTGGTCCTAATTGACACCTTCGGAGGCTAGACTGAAGCCTATTCTACCTGTTCAGAAAAAAGCTACAGATGTAGTCAAGGTGCTTTTTAAAGAAGTAATCCTTACATTTGCACTACCACAGTCCTTCTAGAGTGACAATGGTCCTTCTTTTAAGTTCCAAATAATTCAGGGGATGGCAAAGCCTTTCGGAATAAGTACCACCACCGCTCCTCCTAGCAGCCTCAACTGGAGAGGTAGAGAGACTCAACCAGGTCCTCAAGTGAGCTCTGACACTCTCTGCATCCTGGATGCCAGGCTTCCTCTGCTATGCCCTTTTGCCTCGGAGCTAGCCAGTTTTGGATTGAAACATGAGCCAAAATAAACTCCTCATTCTTTAATTTGTGGTTGTCGGGTATTTTCTCCCCTGAGGAAAGTGACTAAGACAGAGAAGGTACAGAAACAAGAGGGTATATGAGAAAGTAACTCGGACACACAAATCCAGTTCAAGCAGAAAAGGGCAAATAGATGAGGAGGAAAAAATTCCCTGGCTTCTTTGGAGACATTAGGTAACTGTGGCTGAAGCCATAACGGAAGTTAGAGAAGTGGGACAATTGTGATTGGGAGTGGTATAGGGACATGAAGAGTTTTTAAAAAAAATTAACCAGATCACCTAAAATGAGGCTTTAGACAAAGAAAACAAGTAAAAAATTGTAATTTATATGATGGGAGAGAAAGAAAAATAGCTATATACCTTTAATGTTTTATCATTGGCCCCGTTTCCATTGACAAAGGAAGTTTCTGAAAGATTTAAAAATCATACATAAAAGTAATTGCAGCCAGGCACAGTGGCACTTGCCTTAGGTTCCAGCTACTAAAGGAAGCTGAGACAGGAAGATCACTTGAGCCCAGAAGTCTGAGATCATCTTAAGCAATATAGGGAGACCCCCATCTCTTAACAGCAACTAAAAATAATTGGATGATTGTACTTGAGATAAATATGAATTCCAGTGTGACACCCTGTGTTCAAACCCTACTACTGTAATAAAACACAAACTTTTAGAACTGCACAGAGTCTTGACCTTGGGACTCAGAATGTACTCTGGAATTGATAAGTCTTATGATTGTGTAGAGGGGTGTCAAAATATGTTAGATAATACTTGCTTTTCTAAAAATGACCTGTAGGTTGAAAATTAGCTAGAGGGGGAAAAAATAGCAATTAGTATAGTTATTAAAGACTAACTGGAGCAAGACACTTTTCTTGGATCATTTATTCACCCTTTTACTCAGTCAACAAATATTTCTTGGTGCATAATATGTGCTAGGTCCTAGCAATAGAGCAGTGAATAATAAAGCATGAATGTTGCTTTCTAGGGCTTTAAAGTTTAAGGAGGAGATAAACAAGCAATTACAAAACAAGGCAGGAGCACTGTTATAAGGGAAGTGAGTGAAGGGCATTACGGCAGCATGTATAGGAACCTCTGTCTAATCCAGTCTGCGAGAGGCTTCTTGGATGTCCAAGCTGAGATCTAAAGGTTGAATAGGAGTTTGCCAGGAGAAAAAAGGGAAGGAATATGGGGTGGCAGGGGTGTCCTAAAAAGAGAGGAGACTGGAATTCTGGTGGCACGACAGCATGGCCAGGTTAAGGAACTAAAAGAAGTTTGAAGTCTAAAGTGAAGTGAGGCTATGGTGAGAGCCAAGGCTGAAGCTCAATGCCAGGGTCCAACCTAAGGGGCCCTATAAGCCATATTAAAAGTTTGAGCTTCTTCCCGTGGCATGATTAACAATTGCTACACTAAGATGTTGTCTGAGGCTCACAAGTTTTGATATGTGACCTCCGATTTCTGACATTTCAAATAAAACTTTCAGTTCACACATAAAGACACACAAAGGAAAAGTGGTGTGGGAGGTTACTCTGAAGGTAAGTGAATCTCTCTAGTGAGGAACTTTTTATTAAGTTAATATTTCTAGGTTTCTACCATGATCTAGACACTACGGAATATAGAAGAGAATAAGAAAGATTACACTATGGACTTTATGGAGCCTACAGAGAGCAAACATAAGAAACACACAAATAACACTGATAAATAAATGTGAAAAGAAAAGAAAACAGGGAAATGAGAAAGGAGGGGAGTGGCTAGGATGAAAGGCTACTTTTGTTGAGGATAGGTGGCCAGGTAAAGCATCCCCAAAGTGACATTTTTATTGATACCTAAAGTAGATACATATATATTTGGACAGAGAATATTTGATGCAAAGGATCCTTTGAGTCTTAGTTCTGAGCAGGTTAGACATTATGTGACTAGGTATATGAAAGTTAAAAGTATGTGAAATTAAGGCACAAAAGATTAGAAAGCTATTTCTTGGTTCAACTTTTTAATTATATCCATGTTTAAAATCTTAGAAGCAGCAATGCAATGGCAACTGTCTATTAACATTCTTAGTTTAATTCTAAATGAAAAAATGCTGTTTAAGTATTTTTCTCCAGTTGGTGCTAAGGGTAAAAACGCTGTACTGTATCGTCATGAGGGGTAGGAAGTCTTAAAAGAAAAAAGTCTTAATAGGCAGTCTTAAAAAGGCTTCAAGAAAGCTACATGCCCAGATTTTTGTACATTGATATATTTGAATATTATGGTCACCCATAAAAACAACAGAAATTAAATAAAAGATGGCAAATTTTAAAAATAAAAAAGTTATTGTATTAGGCCTGTAAATGGTTATTCTTTGCTTCATATTTTAAATGTTATAAAAGCTTTTCAAGAGGCAAGGGTAGGGCTCTACAAAGCATTAGGATGAAGCAGTGTAAAAAAGATGTCAAAACTCCAGATTTAGCTTACTTTAAGTCTTCAAAGGGCATCATTTCTTTCATTTGCCATTTGTAAAAAAGAACAACTAAGAATGCTTTAAATTATTTTGTACATTGGTGGGGACAGCCAATAATTAGGCAGCCGGAGCTTCTACAATTGCTAACAGTTGGCCAACAATTATTTGAGTGCTTGCACTTGGAACTGAGCATACAGCTACCGACAATACAGGGACTTAAAAAATAAACTCGTAAGCACTTAAATGATATCACTGGTATGCTAAGAGCTTGAGAAAAAACAGATCAACAACGAATGACACGGTAAAAGTTAAGAAGTTCACTAGATGGAGGTTCTGGAGGGCAGAGAAAACGTCGTTTGTATTTTTGTACTCTCAGAGCTTTATAAAATGGTAAATGCTGGCTATGAATGAATGTGCCCAAATGAGAGGAAACGAGGGTAGGAAAACAGTGAGTAGCAAGCAGAGAATAAAGAGCGACGTGTCAGTTCAAACAGGAAACCTAAATACCTGATAGAAATGACGACAGCAAATGCCTCTTTGCCCTCAGACTCAGGATGTGAAAAGAAAGCGCAAAGCCCACACGTGTCCCCAATTTTCAGCTCTGATTGGCGCGCCGCACAACAGCTCCCGGAACCACAACTTCCCGGATCGCTGGGTCAGCGACACCGTCGGAAGCTTCGGGGAGGTTGAGGGACCGCTCGCTCCCCTCCCCGGGCACCCAGAGGGAAGCGGATGCAGCAGCTCTCACCTGGTCCATGGGCTCTGGGGATTAGAGTGGGGCGGGCGCGATCCCCGAGACCCCAGCCAGCCCGCAAGGCCGAGGCCCCAGAGCGCGAGTCCCGGGGTTGCGGGGAGGGCATGGGTGACTTACCTGTGAGGTAATCACAATGCTGGAATCGATTAGGAAACTCATGTATAAGCGTAGGGAGGGCTGGAGCCTTCGCTCTCCAAGGCCATCGCAAGCTGCGCAGCCAGCCCACTCACTCGGCTAGCCTTCGCCCAGAGGCAGCGACTGAGACAGCTACTCGCCTGTTTTACGCCATCAAACCGCGCCTCAAACAGCCAATCAGCGCCTACGTCCTGCGCTTCCGCCTCGGGCTAGAAGTGGGCGGGGCGACGCCCGGGGCCGGAGCTCTGGATCCCGGGAGGCGGGGCTTAATTAGGGCCCCCTGGGCAGAGAGGGGCGGATTGCGGTGTTACTCGCTGAAAACCAGAAGCAGGTGTAAAGCAAGGTAGCATTTCTGTTTCCGAGGCCAAAAGAGGTGAGGCCTGAGACCCAACGTCTTATTTTCAGTGGTAAATCCACTGAATATAAATAATGACCACAATAATAAGATGAAGTTAATTATTGAGCTGGGGATTGTACAAGGCATGGGTTCACCCCCCCCAACACCGCAGAAAAACAAAACCAGTAAAGTATTATTCTAACAATTTAGATCATAGGTCAAACATTGTGTTCTAAGTGTTACAATTTTTACTCGGCTCCACAAACAACTGCACAACTGTAGGTGAGGGAAAAGTGAATAAGCCAAGTGGGATTTTGGGCAAATACAGCTAACCTAGTAAATATCTGATGACAAAACAAAACACAAACCCTATCTATACAGTGGTGGGACAGAAGGCTGGAATGACAGAATAAACTCCTCAGTGCAATAAATCACTATGTACCATGGTATATTTCAACACTGTCCCGAGGCTCTCATAAAACCAAAGGAGCAGAATTGTTCGCATGAAATGAGAATTTCTAAGAAAATAACCTAAATAAGCCCCCTGGCATCACTTGTTCTTAGGCAATTTAAAATAACTAGTTATTTAGGTCACACACCTGGGTAATATATATTAATCTCCACCAGCTTTGCCGAAGATGGTACTTCTGATGTGTGGGTTATGACAGTTGCTTGGGGTACTTCCTAGGGACCTGAAGACTACTTTTGATGAAACCTCAGACTTTTCACTTGGGCCTACTGACATCTCAGTAACTAAAATGAGATGAAAGGTTTGGTGTCTCTGTCTTCATATTTTGCCTGTCCCCTTTACTGCCTTCACCTGGGTCAGATCTACTCAACTCTTCACATAGACGTGTTGATCATAAAAAATGTTTTGTCCAAGACTGTCCTACAAAGTTAATTTGGCCTGTTGTCCCTTGGAGCTGCTAGGTGGGAAGGGAAAAGGGGCTTCTACCCACCCTTGTAATTTTTCAGCGACTAAAACACTGAAAGTCCTCCGACCCTAACACGGCCAGAATGTTTATGCAAGACGATGATGCCAACGGCAAAGGCAACTCCAGGGTTCCGGAGCGGAGTTGACCACCTGTTAGCCCACCATGTTTTGTGCAGAATGATGGTGCCAGATGCGTGAACATTGAACAGCTTGTAGGACAAGTGGACCATAACCACCTGGTGGTCTGTGTTTGCCGAAGGAAGCATCTTTTGAAACCACGTCCTTGGTCAATGAAAATTACCCCACTTTAGCCCACCCTAGATAATCAGTACAAACCTGCTGCTCTCTTTGTTCTGGGAGCAGCGCCTTGGTTACTCTCTCCTTTCAGCCCCTTTCCCCTTCCCACAGTAAAGATTGAGTGTGCGCTTACAATATTTGTCCCGCTCTCATTTCTAACTTCTCTTACTCAAAAGTTTCCACTGTCTGGTGTCATGTAGTAAGAGAATGAGGATCTCACTGTATTCTACCAATCAGACCACAGATGTGGTCCTGTGTTTTGGTATTACACTTTGAAGAGATACAAGGGCTGAGAGTGTAGTTCAGTAGTAGAGCACACGTGTGCAGATAGAGGCCCTGGATTCATCACTAGCCCTGAAAGAAATAGACGCACAGAGACACACTGGACCATGTTCAAATACGAGTGGCCAGATAAGGCCGGGTGAAAAAAATTGAAAGATTCAGGAATATGACAGCTGTCTCGGAGAGAAGGAATGAGTAGAGTGATGTTGTCTCAAGTGTTATTTGTAGGGCAAAGGATTGGAAGTTAAACGAAGATAGATTTTAATTCAAAAGAAGGAGCAACTCTTCAGGGTCTGAAGATGGGTTAGCTTTGGGAAGAAGCTCCTCTCCCCTCGACACACATATCATGCTATGGTAGCTCTTTATTTATAAATTTGATTTGTGATATAAGAGAAACAATGTAATATTTAAACTTGTGTATCTGATTTATTCACTTCACATTATGATCTCAAATGATTTCCCACAAATGATTCGTTTATTTTCCTTTATGGCATAGAGTGGTACTCCGTTGTTTGTAAATCAGATTTCAAAAATTCTTTCATCTTTTGATGGGCATTGGCTGCTTGCAAGATTTAGCTATTATCAGTTTTGTGCTACTACAAACATGGGTATGTATGTACCATTGTAATATGATGTCTTTAACTCTTTTGGGAAGATTCTTAGAAGGGAAATAGTTGGGTCAAATGGAACTTCTAGTTTTAGTTTTATGACGAGTCTCTATACTGATCTCCATAGTGGTTATGCTAGTTTACACTCCCACCAACAATTTAGAAGGGTTCTTTTTCCCCTGCAGCCACACCAACATTTGTTATTATTTGATTTCTTGATGATAGCTATTCTTTCTGGGGTAAGAGGATCCCTCAGCGTTGTTTTAATTTACATTTCTCAAATGGCCAGCGATGTTGAGCTTTTCTTCGTGTATTTATTGGCTATTTGTACTTGTGAAAAAAGTCTGTTCACTTTAGTTGCCCATTTTTGATTGGGTCTTTTGTTCTAGGGGCTTTAATTTTGTTTTAGTTCTTTATATGCCCTAGATATGAGTCCTCTGTCTGAGGAATCCTTGGCAGAATTCTTTTCCCATTCTGTAGGTTGTCTTTTTACTGTGTTGGTTATTTCTTTTCCTGTGCAGAAGTTTTTAATTTGTTATGATCACATTTTTTGATTCTTGGAACTATTTCCTGTGCAACTGAAGTTCTTTTCAGAAAGTCCTTTTCTATACTATGTCTTCAAGAGTTTTACCTATCTTGTCTTTCAATATTTCTGGTTTAACTTTTAGTTCTTTAATCCATTTTGATTTTAGTTTAATACATGGTGAAAGATATGGTTCTAGGTTCAATCTTCTGCATGGATAACCAGTTTTGCCAGCACTATTTATTAAAGGGCCCTTTGTAAAAAATCAAATACAGTTTCTGGCTTGCAAACATTTGGGTTGTGAACTTTCACAGATGCGAATGGACCTCACATCACAAACAGTTGTAGATGCCAACAGATTGAGGGGGTAGCTCGCATCCCTGAAGAACATTGTCACAGTATGCTGCTGTGTGCTTACTGTACAATGTGATAGTGTATAGTGGTACTGTGCTGAATCAGAGCCCAGGATGTCCAGAAGCAAGAGGAAAAGCAGTGGCGATGTGGAGGGGACTGCTAAGAAATGCAAAGTAATTACCATGGAAACAAAAGTGAAAATGAAGTGAAAAAATGGAAACAAAGTCTTTGTAAATAGGGAAGGGTGAAGGGAGTGAAGGGAGGGCAGTGGTGTGGGGAAAAAACAAGAACCAAGATATATCATGTAAAGGTACAAGATCCCAGTGTAAGTGTAACTGTATTGTTTGCTTTAAATGTACCAAGAAACTTAATGGGAAAAAAGTGAAAATAATGGAGAGATTAGACCAAGGTGAAAAGATGGAGGATGCCGTTCATTCTTGTAACATGAATCATTCAACTACTGGCACCATTCTAAAGGACAAGGACAAGATCATGCAATATGTGAAGTTTTTTTTTTTTATGCTTTACATTGTATATTTGTGTCAAAGTTATTCAAGACTCACTTTGTCAGAATTATGAATGAATCAGACTTACAAACATTCTCCTGGAACGGAACTCATTTGTAAGTTGGAGATTTACTGTAGTTGAATGTACTTGAGGTTGTTTCTGTATCCTCTATTCTGTTCCATTGATCTGCTCTTGTGCCAGTACCATTTTGTTTTATCACAGTAGTGTTGTGGTACAACTTCGGGTGTGGGATGGTGAAGCCACTCCCTTTTCTGCTATTATTATTATTATTATTGTTTTAGTACCGGGGATTGAGCTCGGGCCCTTGCGCTTGTGAGGCAGGCAGCGGAACCACTGAGCTAAATCCCCAGCTCTCTGCTATTATATTAATAAACAGTTTTAAAAATGCCATTTGTCCTGTCTTTTGATTTTTCACTAATTCAAATTAATGTTAATCTTTGTGTCACCTGTTTTTGTGTATCCATTTTTCATGTTCTCATGTTGTTTTTAAGGTTTCTCTCATTCATTGGTCACTGGCAACAGCCCTGTTCTAGTTATGGTTCTCTCTCGCTCACATCAGATACTTCTCAGCCCATACTTTGGCTAGATTTTTTTTTTCTTTTTAATATCAGGGACTGAACTCGGGACCTTCCACTTGTGAGGCAGGTGGCAAAACCACTGAGCTAAATCCCCGTCCCTGGTAGAATTTTTAATAACCCAAATTTCTATTTGGAGCCATTTTTATGGATTCTAATTCTTTTCTATGTTGGTCATTCATGTTTTGCATCATTTTGCTTAGCAAATGAATTCAGCAAAAAGTTTTAGCTTTTTATGAATGTTTTCACAAGACTTGCTGATCATTTTGTTCATTTGACCCAATATCTTATTACTTATTTTTTCCTCTGAGCTTGCCAAATGCCTTACTGATCATTTTTTTACCTTCTTGGGTATCATTTGAATAATTTGAGTGTGTGGCTTTTCATTTCCTCTCGTGTTGCACCGTGGATCACCTTTGGGTGAATTGGAGTTTCTGGAGACATTTTGTTGGCTTATCTTCTCATGTTTCTATTTTGTTGTTGTTGTTTGCTTGCTTTTGTGTTGGGTTTTGTGGGTTGATTATAGTGGAAAGCTTTGTTTCTAGAATGGAAACCTCTTTAGTGTCTACCTTTTCATGTTGTCCTCTGGGCATGGCCAACCATTGGTCTCTGCCTCTGTCCATCCACCTCCATTTACTTGGGATAGAACCACCCAGGTCTCCAGGAACAGCCACAGTACTATTAATGACCCCATTGGCATCCAGTGAAAACCAATTGAGGAGTAAAGGGAAGTTA